CCCGGTCCCCACGGAGAACACGGACGGCGCTCCGCGGGGGCCACTGGCACTCACGTAACAGCAGAATCGGGGTGGTGGGAGGTGGTGGTTCGCATTTTGGGGACTATGGAAAATTGGACGTAATTTGGCCTTGGAACCTAAGGCCTGTCTAGAGTTGTTTTCTCATCTTTGTCGTAATAGTTAATAAGATTTTTTTTTTTTTAGGAAAGAGTTGGTCCTGATCCATGAAAGATGCACCCTAAAGTTTTCAAGGCATTAGAAATTAGGTGGGTAACCTCATGGATATGAGGAGATACCTTCAAATTGGTTGCATAATGGTGGGGCCAGGCCTCAAGGAGGTTTCTTAAAGAGGCGTTTTTAACGTTTAAGGAAACTGGAAGGAAATTGGCTGTTGCACCTATCAAATGATGCAAATGTGACTTATCTGGCTGAGAACAGAGAATGTGTTGTGTTTATATTGCCAGTCAGCCTCTGGTTCAGCTTTGACTCCACTTTAATTTTATGCACTAGTCTTTTCTATCATAGCACACAGGCATAAAATATAAATTGGGCGGTTCTTGGAGTTTATTTCAGTACAGTGTTTGATAAACATGCATCCTGCAAACTTTAACGGTGTGGTGTGGGCTGACCTTGGCTGGATGCCAGGCACCCACCAAAGCTGATCTGTCATCTGCCTTCGCAGCTGGACAGGGAAGAGAAAATGTAGTAAAGTTAATGAGTTGAGATAAGGACCAGGGGAGGTCACTCAAGAAATACCTAAGGGCAAACAGACTTGAATTTGGGATATTAATTTTTTACCAACAAAATCAGGGCCAGGATAATGAGAAGTAAAATAGATCTTAAAACTACATTCCCCCTACCTCTTTCTTCTTCCAAAGCTCTACCTCCTTTTCCCCCAGCAGGGAAGGGAAATGGGAATGGTTATGATCAATTCATCACAGAGTTTTCCTCACACTGCTCAGGATGAGGAATCCTTCCTGCAGGAGACAGTTCTTGATTAACATCTCCTGCATGAGTTCATGCCACAGGCAACAGTTCTGCACAAAATGCTGCAAGGTGGGTGACACCAGAGATAGAGTGCAGTCCTTCAGGCACAGCCTGCGTCAGTGTGGGTCCCCCAAAGGGTCACAGGTCCTACAGAACCTGCTCATGCCATGGGTCTGCAGGTCCCTGCCAGGTGCCTGTTCCAGCAGGGGCCTCCCATGGACTCACAGCCTCCTCTGAGGGATCCACCTGCTCCAGCCTGGGTGTCCTCTGTGGGCTGCAGGGGAACCTTGGCTTTGGTGCCTGGAGCACCTCCTGCCCCTTCTTCTCCACTAACCTTGGTGTCAGAGTTGTTCCTCTCATGTGTTCTCACCCTGCTTTTCTCTGCCTGCAGTTACACCTGCACAAAAAACCTTTTTTTTTTTCCTTCTCAAATAAGTTATCACAGAGATGTTCCCATCATTCCTGATGGGCTCAGCCTTGGCCAGCAGTGGGTCCATCCTGGAGCTGGCATTGGCTCTGCTGGATGTGGAGGAAGCTTCCAGCAGCTTCTCACCGAAGCCACTCCTGTAGCCCCCCCTGCTACCATGACCTACCTGCATAAACCCAACACACCCTGATACTGAGAACAGCAGGGGAGCAATAATACTTTGAAACTTTATTTTAATTCCATTAAGGTAATAGTAAAACTTTTGTAGACTCAGCCCAGACGTGGGTTTCAGGAAGGCATCCTAAAATACTGACCTTCACAAGGTTTTCTGAGCTTGACCATACAGGTGATGTTAATGTAAAATAGCCTTAAGGAAATATTTTTGCCAGGATGGAAGAGGCTAAGGGAAAAACAGAGAAGGATAATGGTTAGTTCATTATCAATAGCAAGGTAACTCTAGTATAAATAAGTAAAAATGGGACAATTTGTTTCTTTGTCCTTATGTTTGAATTTAAGACTGAATTGCTTTGAAACAGTGGAACATGTTTCCCAAAGAGATAGTGAAGCCTGGATTTGGAGATATTCAAACCCCAATTGGACACAGCCTTAAGCAACCTGTTGTAGGTGGCCCTGCTCTGAGCAGGAGGGCTGGGGAAGACAGTCTGCAGAAACACCTTCCAGCTTGAACAATTCTGTGATTTCTAAGCCAGTTTTCCAACAAACATAAAGTGCTTAGAAAATTCCAGTGAACAGCACAATATGCTCTAGGGTCCTTGGTTCGAAGGACATTTTATTCAATTTCTTGTTCACCTAGGCAATGGAAATCCAGAATGCAGGGCATGTTGCACTCAAAGATTCAGCATAGCCAGTTGTCATGTTATTGCAGGGGAAGAGCTTCAGAAAACTAGAATGCCATTAAAAGGCAAATGGCTGGATGTTTTGCAGTCTTCTTTGCAAACTTATTTGCTAACTTCTTGACTGGCTGGCCATTCATCCTGTCTGTATGTAACTGTTTCACATTTACCCCCTTGTTCTTCACCACTCAGGAGCAAGATACTAGCATATTTTGAATGTTTTGTGTAATTTTTGTCTTGATGGAGCCATTACCTCAGTGTTTTCTCAACCACTCTGGTTTCCAATAGGCCACAGGCACCCTGGTGTGATCAGAAACAGGGTGACTCCCATGGGTGCAGCTGCCAGGAAGGAAGCCGTGTGTGCAGCTGATATTCACAGCCCTTTCTGCTCCCACAGCCAGCAGAGGTACCCTAGGGCAGAGCGTACTTGGGAACTGCAGGTACCATGGCTGTGCTGGCACCACTTTGGAACAACATAGGTTAACTTACCTGCAGAAATGTTTTTGTAACATTTTCTGGAATTCAGTAGGCAAAGGCTAAAACTACGTTGTAAGTAATAGGATTTCTGACCTTCACTGGTGGTTAGGTTGTGTCACATTTGCTACAGCAGAGAGAGAATATAGCTTGTATAGAAAAGTTTATAGCTCAGTTGTTCTCAGTGAATAGAGCTCTTGCAGTCCAACTCTAATTTTACTTGTGATCTACTGTTCCTTTGTATTTTTCCCTAGAGTTTATTTTGGTGTCACTCAGAAGTAGGTACTGTGCTATATCTTTTTCCTCACAAAAGCAAATGAAGTCAGTGGCTTTTGCTCAGTGTCCTCTTAAAGTCGTACTTGAATGTAGCAGTCATGGAGTTAGTTCTGGAGATACCTGCTGCTAATTTAATAATTGGACATTTATTTATCACAATGGCTCTTACAATGTTGTGATCAGGTTCCAGCTTGGTCATCTTAAAAGGAGTTACTTTGTCAAGTAATGAAAAATGGGTTGCAGCTCTAAGTATGGCTGATGTTTTTATCCATCTTGCTGATAATTTTCTTGTCAATAAATGATAAAAATCCATAATGAGCCATTTTCAGTCACAGTTCCTTCCTTTTTATCTTGTGTGTTAATTAGATCCTTTTCCAGGCACTGGCAACATGCATAGCAAACACCATTGTGCTGAGTAACTGTTCCACATTTCTCAAACTGTACCTCCTCTATTGCCAAGCTCCAGGTTGTAAGAGAGTAATTTGAGTTTTGTCAGCTTTCTGGTGACTGATTTGAAGGTCTTAAGTAGACATGTGTTTGCTTCTTCATCTGTGAAATAGATGAAATAGAGTTATTTCACCATCCAGTTACCTGATCATGTTTCAGTAACCATTTTTTGACCTTGACAAACCCCTCAGTTGGTGTTGAGGGTTCATTGTGAGCTGGCTACGTCACTGTACAGTAAACATGAGCCTGCTGAAGTTATCTTTTCATGTTTTTCCTATTCAACCACATGATGAAGGTTGGGTAGGAAAGAAAGTGAAGGGGGATTGTTCTAATTTCTCCCAGAACAGTCCTGTGTTAATATATTCTCATGGAAATTCTGGAATAATTTTTCTGTCTTGTAGCTTCTATTTGAAACTTGTCTATAAAAAGGAAATACTGCAATTTTACCCAAAGATCTAATGTTCCATAATATTCTCTTTTGATTATTAGTTTTATTGCAAGTGCACCAATATTTACCTGCAGTCACTGGACTAAAAAGGAAGGAGTAAGGAGGGTTGACAAGATTGCTCCTAGCAGTGGTATAAAAGTCTGCTTCATGACTGTAGTACTGCTGACTTTCACACACAGTGTATTCAGGACAGTTACATTGAAAAGGAATCCTTGTAAAAATATGTTCCAAAATGAAGGAAGTATGAGGGATAAGCAGTCTTTCTATTGATAGTCTAATCTGTAGGTCCAGATAACCCTGCAGACTTAAAATTGAGTGCAGCAAAGGAGAAGCTGTCAGTGCAAAAGTCTGTAAGACCTCATAAAGTGTTTCTGGTCACTTATCAGTAGGAAATGCCTAGTGAGAAGTAAAAGTATAGGGAAATGTGGAGTTGTGTGCTTTAAAATGCACTCCTGCCTGCCTTTGTCAGCAGAGGAGGTAGCTGGTTCATTATAACAATAAATCTTAAAAGGCTTGAGCCACTTCAGGAAGGGTGATACCAGCCAGTGCCCATTTGTCTGAGTTGGGTAGTAAGCTGGCTGTCATGTTCAAGTTCTTCTAAAATAATTGAAAAGAAACATGGGATTTCTTTAATAAGGAACAAAAGGGTAGAAATGTAACCAGTGCCAGTAAGTGTGGCTTAGGGAAAAATGATCTTGGCAGACACACCAAACTTCACTACTTGAGTAGGTGAGAAGCTCCAGCACAATTTAATTGTGCAGGTGGAGCAGACTTGGGTAAGGTGCTTCAAACTCCACACACCTAAAGCCTCCCTTACTTTCAGTATCATACATTATGTGGCTTAAAAGCTGATGGACTGAGAGTGGTGAAGAAATACATAACATGGCAGAAATCACCTAACAATTGGATTGTTCAAAGAGGTGGAACCTTAGGTATGGCCCAACACTTCCATCATGGTGTAGAAGTCATCATAGAGTCATTCCTGTCTTTATTTGTGACTGTGACAAAGTTGCTGGAATAAGTACATAGAAATGATAAGGAAAAGACAATAATGCAGAAACATCACCCAGACTGGATTACTTTGTAAGTTGAACCACTTAAATAAGTTATGTCCTAATCTGTCCAAGTGCAAAATTAAGTGTCTAGGATTAATGAATGCAAATCATGTACCTAGAGGATATTTCTGAATCCTGGAAAGTGGAAACTTTAGAAAAGTTAGAAGAATGCTGTCACAAGTCACCTCAAAAACAGCCTGATGTAGATGTGGGACAAAAAGGTCTGGTGCTGTTTGGGGATGCTCAGAGTGGAGTAGTAGTAGAAATAAGGTGAATTTGTATCTGCTGGGTCGTGTTTTTTTTAAATAGACCAAAAACTGGAGAGCCCACAAAGAATTGTAGAAGAATTTGGATGCTTAAAAACTCTTTAGCTGTTTAATACCAAAAAGAACAAAAAAAAAAGTAGACATGTATCGTGTAGTACTTTCCCAGTTATAGGAATTCAGTCTAAAGAGAGACGTGGATAGCTGGAGTTTAAACAAGATAGATTTGAGCAAAAAAAAAAAAAATAGACTTGGCTTCCTAAATGATAAAGGGTGGTGATCAACCACAAGTAAAGCAGTGGACGGGGTGGATCTTCCTCCCCTTGATGCCAGATTGGATGGCACTTCCTGGCATTTCTGCGGAAATCCTCTGGTTCACAAAGGAGTGAGTGAAATTTAATGGCTTATGCCATAAAGAAACTGATGTTAGGCCATCTTTTAGAATCCTCCCCTGCCCTTTCACAGGTGGAAGCAGGTAGAGGTATCTAGAAGAATATAGTTTCTTGGAGTCCTGGTTTTTAGTAGACTGATGTTTTCTATCTAAGAATAATTTCAAATAATTTTTTTGCTCTGTCAAGACGTGCCCAGGCCTAGTTACTCTTAGGAGACAGTAGATTTTCTTGTCCATTTTGTAGTTTTTGTAGCGCTGTTTAGAATTTCTCAAGAGTTGTCCAGACATAATAATTTGTGTTTGTAAGTCAAATTACTGTAATTACACAATACAGACCTCTGAGGACAGTGGGTTCTGTAGAGTCCTGTAGTGTACATGCTGAGGTGCCTGCTCTCAGACAGCAATGCCTGTTTGTCCCTCTTTTTCGTTCTCAGACATTACAGAATTGATATTGCAGATATTGCCAAGCCTTTAATGGCTGACTGACACCCCATTCCTGGTTGGTTTTGCTGCTGGTTTAAGAAAAGAACTTTCTATGGCCACCACAAGCACATATTGCCGTTACTGATCCTTCATTATCTCTTAGCAACCATTTGGTCTTTCACAAAAAATGTCCCAGGCTAGATGGTCTCAAGAGTTTCCATGCAAGACCATTGAAGAATGGGCTGTGACCCACAGAAGGAAATGCAGCAGGAATTATTGAGTCACAGCCTCTGTGCCTAAAATGGGTCTGAAAAGAAAGTTCCTTAATTCCTCTCACCTGGGGCAAAATTCATGGTGAGAAAAGAGTTGCTGGAACCTCCCAAAGCAGCTCTGGTTGTTGCTGTCTGCTGTGACAGAGGCATGTGGCCATGCATAAAATCTCAGTGGATGAACCCCTTGAAATGCCCTACAGAAAAGTGAAGACAGGCCAAGTTATCTGGAATTTTACCCATGGTATGAAGTGTTGCACCATGTTATGGCCAAGGAACCAAAATTATGGAATTAAGCAAAATCACAGCATAGGAGAGGCACAAAAGGACATGAGGTGCTCCAAGCTGTGAAGCAATGTTATGAGGAGTCAAGGCTGGACTTGGCATTCACGCTGGACAAGGGAATGAGAGGCACATGTGATTGATCTTTCTGGTGGGTAGGAGATGCCAAGTCTATAAAACTGCCCAGGTCTCAATCAGTGGATGTGATCCATAGGCACCGAGTGGCAAGTGCTTAATAACCTTGCATTCCTCTCCCATGGCACTGTTCACAGAGTCACAGAATGGTTTGGGTTGGAAGAGCTGTTAAAGATCGTCTAGATGCAACCCTCTGCACCAGGTTGTTTGTCATTATTGGTGGCGAGCTGCTCACAAGTAGAGGCTTCCCTGTTCCCCAGCCTTCTCTGTTATTTGCCTCATTGAAGGCACAGAACTCCAGGACAGTCACCTGCCATGTCCCCTGCTGCTGGAGCTGCCAGTCTTGGGTTTGCTGCAGGACCTGCTGCCAGTAGGCAGTGTCCTCACCATGGAGCCAGCCCTGGGTTTGCTGCCAGCAGGCAGTGTCCTCACCATGGAGCCAGCCCTGGGTTTGCTGCCAGCAGGCAGTGTCCTCACCACAGAGCCAGCCCTGGGTTTGGTGCCAGTGTCCTCACCATGGAGCTCGGGCATGAGCCTGCTGCAGCTTGCTGTGCTGCCCATCACCATCCCCTGGGAGCCTGTGAAGAGGATCTGACCCATCCATCTGCACTTCTCCAGTTACTGTGGGTGCTCCCTGAGAGAGCTGAAGACAGAACTGGCTTGGTGTTGGCAGGAAGCTTCATACAGTTTGTGGGAAGCAAGGCTTGGAGAGGGGCCCAGGCTGTCCCAGTGCCTGTGTTTGGGGTAGCATCTGGCCTGATGTCTGCCAGAACAAATGGCTGGCCACTGAGACAGGCACGTTACAGCCAACACTGCACATGCAGACAAAGCCACCAACTCGCTTCAGCCCAGGATGCTTGGGGACAAAAGTGCCAAATGCACTTGTCTCCAATTCTAGGGTGAATTTACACAACCAGAGCTGGGATGTGCACTGAACTGCCCGTGCACACAGGCAGCCACAATGCCTGGGAGCCAAAGGCTTGAGGGCAAAGAAAGATGAATGCAGCTGTAAGAAATACTTTATTTGATGACAAAACTAGTTGCAACAAATAAGTAATGAAACAAAGATTGACCTTTACAATTGTGTGTCAGTACACACAATTCTTTTGAAGACATTTACATTAAAAATGCTCATTAAATAAAGAAAAATATCTTTCAAAGAAGGTTTTTATGGCATTATAAGAATTTTACCAAGCCTCAGCATAGACATTGCTGGGATCTGTGTAACCCTGAAAAATAAGGTATTGGAGGAATATCTGTGAAACAAGTATGGCAATATTCTTTTGGAGAAATTTCTTCATGATAAGGCTGAAATACTGGATAGCAAAGGAGTAGGAAATACACAAACTGAACAGTGAAACATGATCAGAGAATCTCATTTGTTGCTTGGGGTCTGAAAACCGTATTTGAACTTAAACTTTCTAATGGTTCCTACTTATAAAAAAAGAGTGTAAAAAAATGTGTTCAGATACACCAGGCTGATGACCAACTGACATGCTTTTTATTCCAATATTAACATGTATCTTAGAGAATCGTGTCCAGTGTCAAAATCCCATGGTGCTGGGACCAGAAGAGGAATGCAAGGCTCTTGTGTTTGGTCTGTCTGTGCTGTGCGGCACAGGGTAGTTTAGAGAAAGATCAGAAGAGGGTCCAGATACTCAGTCTGTGTCTTTTTTCTTTCAGTTATACAAGGTCAGTAGGTTGGAACTGACCTAATAGGTTTAAATCAGTGAAAATGTAAGGCCGGTATCTCTACAGCTGCCTAAATCTCAGATAACCTCTCTACTTAAAAACACCAGAAATGTGCTGTATAATGTCACTTACTTTGAAGCTGACATTTTGCATTGTACAGGTTTTCAGTTGCTCATAAAACTTTGCCAGCTTTCACAAGTCTGAATTTTTCCCTAAGGGGTGTTGGCCTCAAACTGAATTTTTTTGTGAAGACTCCAGACACGGTTTTTTCAGCTGCCTCAGATCAAAATGCAGATTATTTGCCCTTGTAGAGAAAAAACAAAGAACAAGAGAAAAAGAAAAGAAGGAAAGAAAAAGAAGAAAGAGAAAAAAAGAAGGATAAGAAAAAAGGAAAGAAGAGAGATGAAGAAAAGAAAGGAAAAGAAGAAAAGGGGAGAAAATGAAGGAGGAAAACAAATAAAATGAAAGAAAAGATAAAACAAAAGGAAAGATAAGGAAAAAAGAGAAGAGTTTTTTAAATTGAAAACCTATATAAAAAAACTTGAAAACAGATCTTACATTTAAACACCAGGGTGGTCCTTGTGTTGAGCAGGAGTCCCTTGCAGCCTGTGGAGAACTGGTAAGTTATTTGTTTGCATTAAAATCTCTGACATGTCTTGGTTTACAAATATTCAGTAGGCTTCTTAATCCTTAGTTGTACTTAGTTGTTAAAGGAAAGCTTTCACAGGCAATTTTATTTCTAGTGTGTCCAGATTAAGTGTTGTGCAAGCTTAAAGGTATTTTTAACTAGGTAGGACAGTTAATTATTTATTCTACAATTTCAAATAAGAGCTCTTAGTTTGGACTCTCTTATTGGTTGTGGGGGCAGGGAGGGGGCAGACATTAAAATATCCATTATTTCTTCCATAGTTCTGTAAACGCACATTTCATTTACCTTATTTGCCCATGAATCAAAGATACAGCCTGGAGTTGTTGGTGAGTACATGTAACAAAGGTAAAGGGACTGGTAAATGTTCAACTGACACAGTGTCAGAAGTCAGCACTGATGGATCTTGAAAAAGAAAGGGTAGAGAAGATTTGGGGTGTTAAGAGTTCCTTTCCTCAGCTGGTGGAGCTGTAGATGGCCCTGGGGGTTGTCTGCTTTGGTAACTATATGAGCATTGTGTTTTGAAACAGAAACAGCCCCTCCCTGTTTCTCTAGTAAATCCTTTAGCAAGAGAGCAGGACATTGCAAACCAAACCATTACACTGAGGGGCCAGCCTTCTTGGGGAGACTTTATTGGGACAACAGTGAGTTTTAGTGTTTGTCAGTTCAAAGCTGACAAAGATCAATTAACTGTACTCGCCTTGAGTGGATGGGAGCAGCTTTCACCAGCCCATAGAGCAGCCAGGTTGCTCTGGAGTGTACCAAGAGTCCACTTTCCTGGGATGTTATGTGTCTAAACAGACACCTTCCCATAAGGCTCAAAATGCTTTTGAAGACAAAATGTCAGGTTTTAACTACAAAAATAAATTCCCAGCATGAACACACAGGTTGGTAGAACAGCAACAGTGTGAAGTAGCAATGAATTTAAAGGAGGAATTAAGCTTTTAGAAAAATGGAAGTAATTTAAGATCCCAGTTTCCAAACACTTAAAGCACAAGCTCACCTTGAAGTGCACAAGGGTCCCAGCAGTGTTGACAGGACAGTTTGTGTGCCTGAAGCACACAAGTGCATGGTTCACAGGGCTGGACCAGTGTTTTTAATACATGCTAACAGAAAACAAGACAGGAGGGAAAGAGCCAAAACCATATGGAAAATATGCGTGTGAATGCTTGTGATTGCTGTGGAAGGACTAATTATACCCCCATACCTCTTTCTGGTGTGAAGTATGACCCCATGTTAGATTTTTAAAGGATTAAGTTGCATACAATTACTGCCAACACAATAAATGGGAGACAATTTAAAGAAAAAAAAAGAATTGTTGCTAAACTTTGTTATCAAGGGCATTTTGGCTGTAGCCAGGAAAAAGTACAAAAGATTATTCTATTTCTGTATGCCTAGTGCTAGTCACCAAGGTTAAAAAAAGCTGCTTTAATGAAAACTTGCAAAAGCTGAGACTTAACTCTGTTGTGTGGTAGTTAGGATGATGTTGCAAATGAAGTATTTTGAGATACATAATAGATTACCTAATCAAATAGATGATTAAGCAAAACCGGGAAGAGAAATGAGTTCAGAGAACCCTAAGGTGCGTTTGCAGGAGAAAACATTTTTCAGGTCTTTATTGAACAACAAATAAATGAAAATAACTAAATATAGAAAAGTTTAACGTTTGGCAGGAGAAGGGGTTTTCTAAATAACATAATGAATCCAATCTAGTATGTTGGATTTCTTTACAAATGCCCACACAGAGGCAAAAAGGGAGAGTTGCTGCCCTGATTCATTTGAATCCTTAGGATTGTGTAACATGAGACTTAATTAAGTGAATCTTGATTTTTTTTCCCCCAACTCTACTGAAATAGTCAAAAAAACTATACTAGGCTTTAGAAAGAAAATGTTTGAACAGAAAAATTTGTGTTTTATAAATGTATAGCATGCAATTTCTTGATGAAGCCTTCCTCAACACAAGTAAATAACATATATTAACATTATTCAACTAAAATATTTCAACAGTTTTCATCTGTGTTTGAGCACAATGTTCTAGTGCCTTGTTTTACAAAAGACATTGAAGAATATGTATTTATTTAAATATTTGAGGTAATTCCTTGAACAAGATGTCTGTTCCTTGGTAACAAAATTCTCTTGCTAATTTGTTCTTTCTTCATTGCATATCTAGTGCCCATGTTAGGAGTTCTTGTTTGGTTGGTTTTTAATCCTTTCAGGGTAAGAAAGGAGAATTTATTTACATACTTGTATCACTTACACAGTTTTTGACTATTACATCTTCTATGTTATTCACCATAAACCAAAATTTCTGTAGAATTGGTTATTCTAGCTGGGTTTTTAGTCTGGAAAATATGAAACATGCACTTTTACTACACCACTGGGGTGGACTGGAACATTGGATGAGCACGTACAGATGGAGCTTTACAGAAACAGAAGCAGCAACACGAAGCCAGAGCACATTAGTAATTTTAGCACCGTGGTAAGGGAACATCAGCCACCAAGGCAGCTGTGCCAGAAGAACTGGCAGTGGAAGAGCTGATGAAGAAGGAGCGGTGCTCACAGGGCCTGGGAATGTCAGGAAGGGGCAGCTGGAGCTCGTGGCTGCCCACGGGCCGTGCCCGGCCAGGAGGGGCGGGAGCTGGGACCGGCAGTGGTTGCTCTGCAGTGCTGGGTCAGGGAGGGCGTTTGAAGCTTTATAAATGTTTAGCCCCAGCCTGGCAGCCAGAAGTGACCCAGAACGGCACGGGCGGCCGAGCTGGGACTTTACCCTGACAGAAACACTGATGGGAAAGGGGGCGGGCACGGAAGTTTAAACCTTTCCTGCAGGCAGGCTGGAGGCTCATCCACATGACTCAGAATGGAAAAACAGCGGGAACCCTTTCTGTAGCACTGAGCTAGAAGGTAGCACTTTTCAAAGTGCTGCAAAACGAATGCAATAAAAATATAATTTAAAATTCTTTCTGTATTTCGTGTATACTAGGACCAAATCAGCAAAGGTGTTAACTGAAAGTTTTCTCTTCACCCTTTCAGAATAAAATCTAGTATTTGGCTGGAAATGGCATTTCCCAAATACACAGTGAAGTCTCAGAAATAACTGCTGCCACACTTCCACTTTGTACCACTGCACAAGCTATTTATATTTGTGTCCCAACCCATTATAAGTGCAAATGCACACCTCTGTTCAGGTAGCTGAACAGGGTAAAAGAGGGTAAAAACATAAAATCACACTGAAACAAATCCTCGTTAAAGTGAGAAAGCTCACAAGGCATCTGTCACTATTTTCATCCTGGCCAAGAAAATTAAAATAATTTTCAACTTCCTTAGTTGCACATGATATTGCTTTCTCTTGTCATTCAACATCTCAGCATCACAGCTCAGTGACTGAGGAGGGTGTGGTGCACCCATCAGCACACAATGGATTTGCACTTACACTGTTCACACTTGTCTCCCCAATGCTGCAGAAACTTGTTCCATGTATTCAGCAGTCTCAAAATCCCATTACTTATCACTCATGTCAGCAGTGAGAGCTAGCATTAGAGGAAATCTAACATTTTGATGGCAGAAGAAGAATTCTATATCCTGGTCTGACAGGATCTAGAGCAGGGTAGAAAGAGGTGATCCTTGTGATACTCTCACCCCCTCCTGGAAAAGCCACAGGTCAATGCACAACTTCTGCAACATTAGGGCACTGGTGTTCTTTAAATTGCAGATCAAGAGAGACACAATCTCCAATATATCTGAATTTCTAAGAATGTCTATGGGTGCTTAAGCAGTTTCTCAGAAGCTTTCTGCATGTGTTTCATTAGAGCACTGAGAAAGGAGTCTGCACTGAATTTCTCCCTGGAGCTGGTCCCATCCAAGCACTCTGCTGTACCTTACATTCTCTTTCCTGCTCACCCTCCTGCCACCAGACTAGGCAAGGCTTGGGTTTATCCAAGTTATAGAATTCAGTTACAGAAAGGAGTTGCCAAAGCATGGAAGGTGCAATCCTTGAAACAGACACATTTAA